AGCTGTGTAAACCGACTGACATGAATGTTTGGGTTGCTTTAAGGAACATCTGCAGCAGCTGCCTTGTAAATTCCCAGCATTGAGAGAGCAGGAACAGAAAGTTCCATTTCTGTATTGCAGTGTACCATTGCAGAGCAGCCATTGCAGGCCTCATCCAGATCACCCTGTGAGAAAGAGCGAGAGAGAGAGGGAGGGAGGGTTGGAGAAAGTGCCATTCAAAATGGAATAAACTAAGAGAAGGTAAACAGTTGCCTTTAAAGCACAACAAAAATGACCTCACATAGCTCCAGAAGTAACGCATGGCATTGCTAGAAACAGCAGTGTCAGTGTCAGTTTTTCCCATTTTTATTGATGACAGTAAGTCATAGTGTCAGAAATCACATAAGCAAGTCTATTACTTATTAGCTTTTCACAGTAGCTATAAAATGCTATTTCTGCCTGTTTTGTGGATCCCTTAGTTGATCTTCAGTAACATTGATGGAATATATTTCTCTGTGAATGTGTATGATTTACATAACCAAAAGTGAACTGCATTTTTATTGTCTTGTGGTGACCGAGCAAGTCAACATTTATAAAAGTGTTTTATTGTGTTTCAATGCTATTTTAAATAAGGCAATTGTAGATGATTGACATGAGGAAAGCTGCAGTTGTGCTGTCCGGCAAATCTTGGTGTGGCCGTTCTTGTCAAGAGGGGTGAACTTTTTTCAAGGCAGGGGTTCTCAGCCTTCCCATTTCGCCCCTCATTGCTCACTAGTATCTTAACACAGTCAACGTTTCACACACAGAGAGCCAACAGAATCCTTGTTAATCTGATAACAGAGTTATTGTGGAAAAAACACTTTATTTGATTATATTAATTGAAAATGTCAGAGTTGATTTGCATGTCAATTTACATTTGTGACATCACCACTAGTGGCTTTTAGAAAGGGGCTATCATGGTTGTGTGATTATTTTGGTTGGCATGATGCTAATTGGTGGGTTATGACATTTCTGAGTTATTTGTTACATTAGCCTTGTAGCTCCAGTGCAACACTAAAAAAGCAAAGCACAGACAAAAACATTTTGGCTAATCAGCTACATTTGACGTTTGAGAAGGAAAACAGAAAATTTTATTTTTCACTTTTTCACAGGCTTCTTAAAGTTAGCCTGAAGCTTCAAGATTAAGAATTTTGTCTTTAAATGATTTCATGAATCTTAATATTTACATTTAAATTTAAATTTAAGTAGTAAGGGGTGTAGCCCTGCAATGGACTGGCGACCTGTCCAGGGTGTTTCCTGCTTTCTGTCCAATGACCGCTGGGATAGGTTCCAGCTACCCAGTAACTCAGAAGGATAAGCAGCTTAGAAAATGTGTGTGTGTGTCTGTGTGTGTGTGTGTGTGTGTGGTAAGGAGTGTAATTAGAATTTCTGGTGTATAATGTAAGTTAAAGTGAAGTTTTTTGTTCACTTCTATCCATTTTTGTCCATTTTTTTCTGTTATATAATGTCCAGTCCTCTACACTCAGATATCCACCTCTGCCTCTTCCAAATTCTTCTTTGAAACTAGACAATGAAGCAGAGTGAAAAGACAAATACAGAAATTCCTGATCAGTATCAGAGTAATTATTTTTATATATCTTAAAACATTTAGCTCAAAAAAAGAAAGAATAAAAGGGTTTTGTAGTGTTAAAACATACTTGACACAGGGTTTACATATATTGTACTGTAAATGTATACTTAACCTGGGGATTTATGAACCATTTTAATTGTGTACTGTCCTGTCCTGTTAATCAATTTAAAATGAAATCTTTATCTCATTTCAAGTAACTAGCTCATACTTGGGGTACCAACAAGACACAACATCTAGAAGCAGGTAAAAGTTAGAATTTTAATTGTGTACAATACAAAATATAAAGTAAAATTATTTTCTCAATAATTCTCCACAAGGGGGCGCTTTTAGCACTCAAGTAGTTATACATTGATCATTGTGGCGTGAACACAAACCTGTAGAATCTCACAAATGCACAAAATGTTTGCAGTAACATAATTCAAATTAAGTACCTTACCTAAAAGTGATGCAATCGTCAAAAGTTATTTGTCAATTTTAATTGAAATGATACAGGCTAAATACATTAAAGACAGTAACTGAAAAGTGGGGGATACATCAGCTTCAAAATATGCCTTCATATGACGTTTACGTACGTAGAAAATTTGTAATGAAACATTCGTGTTCAAGTATATGTATGTAATTAAAAGACAACATGAAATGTAAATACACGCATTTCTCATCGTTAAACTTGCTGAACGCAGCAGAACGAGAAACGAAAGCGCGTCGGCGTAGCTTACGTAGTCGGCGTAAAGCCCTCGTGCGTGTGAACAGAAACTGCGAAACAGTGCCCTCTATGGTCACAGAATTCGGTGTAACATCGGTTCCTCCGCCTGTAAAAATAATAAACGGATCAAGCCACGACGGCAGCCCCGGCCACAGAGAGCAGGGGGCGCTACCTCATCCCAGAAAGGCGAGAGGCTGCATCTTTAATATGTACCGTGAAGAAGAGATGTGTAGTGCAGCAGAGCGCAGCCTGGTAGAGGTTTCGGTGAACGACGGAAGCTCAACGTTCTTTTTCACCTTTTCAGGTCGTGGATCGTTCTTGTGTTCCATTTCAGCTGCGTCACTGTGCGCTTTAAGCGTCAGAATAAAAACATGTTTACAAACGTTTCCAGCATTTGGTCATTAAAAGAAAAGAGTTCCTTTTGAGTCCACAGCATTCAGTGCCAGAGAATCTGATAATGAGTGTTTTCCAAGCTTAAAATATCCAATTAAAGCTCAGTGGCAAGTAAGAAGAAAAAACTAAATGACTGTCAGCCTGTTGCAGTAATGAGATAAAACTGCAAAATAGTATACACTATATGGCAAAAGTATGTGACCTGACCATGACTTTGTGAAAGCAACTGGAGATCCTCCAAACCAGACTCATCAAACTGTGTCTTTATGGACTTTGTGCACAGGAGCACAGTCATGCTGGAACAGGAAAGGGTCTTCCCCTTACTTATTTGGAATTATTATACATACAGTCATAGGTGCCTGAGCAATGTAGCAAGTGGAGAACATACACCCTCACTTTTATTAGTGCAAACACAAACCTATGCCCCCCCCCCCCTTTTTATTCAAAGTAGAGGTCTGAATGGGACCAATTTTTAGTCACGATTCAAAACGACTGCCACATGTCAGGCTTGCCTTTATTCGCATTTATCATCATGTATTCACCTTTGTTAAGGGCACTTGACACAACTGTGGTCGTCTGACTGTCTAAAGGTACCACCATTTCTGTAGTCTACAGGAGTGCAGTTCATGTGTTGCTCATGTGATTGGTTGTTTCACAACTACTTAGAATGAGTTTGTTTATTTTAATTATTTTGCTGTCATATTATTTATATATGCTAATTATTAACTAATTGGTATCATTTTATTAGTCCTGTTCATGCACACCACACTGTGCTGGTTGACCGTCTGCTCCCGTGCCAAATGCAAAGTACATTACAGAAACATCCTTTTTAATATCCTGTTCGGGGGCGATGAAGTACTCGCCCCCTCCCTCTCACATTGTCCCATATCATTTTGATTCCCATTATTTCCTAATTCTACACTTCAGTTGGAAACCCTTATATCCTGAGCGGCACATGCCAGTGCCTTTACCCTCAGTAAATGGCTAGTGCCACTCCTGAAAAAAATAATAAATAAAAACAAGAACACTGCGTTCCTCTTGTCCTGTTTAATAAATACGCCAATAAATAGTCTATACATACATTAGATTTAGCATGTATAACACCACAATGAATTCAGTAATTAGTTTGAGTACACCTGTAACACGAGCTGCTTTCTTCAGCTCTCCGTGCCACGACAGAACAGCCCAAAATGACAGACTATCTGCACAGAGTCTTTAGGTCAACATTCCTCCATGACTTCCCAGATTCTGATAGCCGATGGTGGAGCTATGATGTGTCGCTAGTTGGCCGAGCCGAGTAGCCGCTGTCCAGAGTCTTTGCTTTACTCACAGGAGCTGTTGGTATGTACCTGTTCTGAGAGGCACACGCCGTTTCTGTGTGGCAGGTGCCACTGGCAAGTGCCACTAACCGAGTGGCACGAGCGGCATGTGCCACTCGTTACCAGTTTATCGGTGGCAGGTGCCATTCGCTAAGTGGCACATGCCAGTACGTGCCATTTCCGGACGGCGGAGTTGCCACTTCCTGCTGCCAGATGCCACTTCGGGACTGAACCCCTGCAATTGTTTTCCTTGGTTTCGATCTGATCTGTGATCTGTTAATCATGTAGATCCACATGTCAGGCGTCCCTGCAGGCGTATTTAGTGAGACCATACGCTGCAGATCAGGTAAAATCAAGGAAAACCGCTATAAAAGTTAGTGTTTTGCAACGATTCTAAACCAGCCTGGAATGATGAAACCTGCCACAATGGTAGATCACGCATAAAACACTGCGTTATGACATAATCATATTCCCAAACCCTGTAGGTTCCTCGCTGTGTTGGTGGAGTCTCGCTCCTACTCAAATTGTTTTTTGGTAACGACTTTTAATTGAATCGTTATGTTATTAAAATAACAACACTAATATTACTATTCTACACTATTTTTATAGTATTCTACACTCGCGTCTGGAAATTAAATTGTACAATGACAAGAACTATTAATAGCAAAAGGCGAGAATGCCGCTTGAAAACGGTTTAAACTGTGCGTAGTAAAGAACGTAAGCCAATGGCTGAATCTCAAATGGCTCCCTACTCCCTATATAGTGCACTACATAGGTCACGGAACCGTGGCTTCTACACGCCCATAGTGCAATAAATGTTAGTAACAGAGTGGTACAGGTAATGCCCGAGTATAAGTGGCTTTCTATTTAACATATAATGCACTATTTGTGTGTGGAAGCTGTTATTTCATTGCCTACATAGTGCACTACGTAGGGAGTCATTTGAGATTCGGCCCATGTTTGAGTCACATGCCTAGGTCGAGGCTCATCACATGATCAGCTGCTGACCGCTGATGGATGCTGGATTTTCAGGATCTGTCGTCTCGAAGGTAGCAGAAGATCAGCTTCGTTTCTTCACTCCGCATTCGAGCTGCCTATCCGGGCCACGATAAAGCGCGAGTTTATTCGGAAGTGAACGTTTCAGGCAGCAAAACTGGCGCTGTTGGTGGAGTGGATGATGAACGGACACGCCATTCTGTACACCGGGGTCACTTTGGCCTTCTGGAGCACCATCCTCATCGTCGGTGAGCGCCAGTCCCCCACATTAGTCCCATTCCCATTCATATTCTCAACTCTACGCATCGTCGGTTGTCATTTCCACTAGATAGTTTGATGTTTTTCTCCAGACATTTTGGATTTCTTGAGTAGCCAATTTAGCACTTTTCGCTGTAAGCGAGCCGCTGCTGATTTTCTCAGCCTTCCCCGCAGTGAGCTAAGCTAAGCTAGCTAGTTAGCTTGTTTGCTAGTCGCGTTGTCATATCATTTGTTAAATAGCAAAACGTAAAAGCATTCATGATCACCTGAAATGAAAACATTGCACGACGTTGTTAAAAGACACCGTTCAGAGTGGCTTGAAGAAGCAAAATAAACGTATGTTAGCTAACGTTAGCTGTTCACCATTATGCAGCTACTTGTACATTAGCTTAAATTGCGTTTTATGGTAGTTAGCTAGTTCTTGCTGTCTCCAGCTGGGAAACAGACATATAAAACTGTAAAATAGGCGTCACGACCCACAGAAAAAAATATTTCGCGTTTCATTTTGTTGGGTAGAGATATGTTCTCTTCGTTTAACTGGAAGTCACGAATTTCTCCCCCTGAATGTGACGGTCGTGTCAGTTTTCCCAGCACTGTTCAGGCTCGTCTGCTAAAACGAACAAACCCTAACGAAAAACCTGTGCTTACTTTATTATTGTTCGACCCACTCGTTCAAACACGGGTACAACCTGGCTGAATTATGAGGATTATAAAAATTCATTCTTAGCTGTAAAGCGCTTTTTGTTAGTCCCTTGCCTCTGAGTGAGCTAAAATGAGGAACGGAAAGTTCTCATGTGAGAGTGAGCGATCACACAGACTCAGCGAAGCTTGACATTCATTTTGCCCATATTAATCGAGCTTCCTCTGTCGACTTCCTTCACTGTGTGTACTACTTGCATTCCCTCCATAAAGGGGATTACAGTGAATTGTCCCAATCTCTGCGTAGTTCAGTGGTTGAGATGTTTTACTTCACTGTGGATAATACTTGAATTTCTTTCATTAAGGGGATTGCAGTGATTTGCCCCAATCTCTGTGTAATTCAGAAGTTGAGATGTAAATAAAGTCATTGAGAGTGACTTGAAGTGAAAAGGTGCATTATGGAGAAACTTGCTGGATTCATTTACAGTGGTGGTGATAAGGATCTGAGGCTCACAATCTGAACAGCATGTATTTTACCATTTTGTTTACTATCTAAAATCATCAGTGAATCTGCATATGTCCGCTGAGCTTTTATATGTAATGTAAAGAATGGTAAAGTAGTGGTAAATCCAGCGTATACGTATTTCGTGCAAGTAATTTTTTTGCTTTTAGAAACATTAAACACTTTGGACATCTGGTTCCTATCTCCACTGCTGCAAACAGTTCTGATTCTGAGTTTGTTTGTAATAGCAACTTTCACATCAAGCCATCTGGAATGACTTTTTTATATTGTAACCACTGAATAATGTAGAATTTTTGGGAAAAAAAAATCAATGGAATTCAGCTCATCAACTTAACGTTTTTCTGTTTAATGAAGGCAGCTTCTTTACTTAACTGACCAGACATAATAAGAAAAGTAAACACTACTGAACATGAGATGAAGGAGAAAATATCTAATGTTGGACGCAACATTTGTCCAACTGTCTGAGCGATCCTGTTTTATGAAAAGAAAAAGAAAGGCTATGGGCAAGAGTTATTTTGTTTTAATGTCAGTATATGTGGATTCCGACTGTGTATGCCTGTCCTGAGGTCTTAATTTCACTAATATTTCTTCCATATTTCTCATCAGGTATTTGCTATACAATCTTTGACCTTGGCTTCCGGTTTGACGTAGCATGGTGAGTGCTGTGGATGCTTTTTCAAAGTGTTGCTTCTTGTTTCGTCCATGTCTATATGCAGTCCACATCCACACATCACTGACTGTGCGTTTATTTGGTCTCATCTTGCAGGTTTTTGACGGAGACGTCCCCATTTATGTGGGCCAACCTTGGGATTGGCTTGGCTATCTCTCTCTCTGTTGTCGGAGCAGCTTGGTGAGTGTGTGTGTGTGTGTGTGTGTGTGTGTGTGTGTGTGTGTGTGTGTGTGCGCGCGCGCTATTTCCTCTTTTGCCCTTCTTTCACAACGAGGCTTGGGGAATTTTAAGATGTGGAAAAGTGTTGAGTTCCATGTATTTGTGCTCATGTGGCTGTCTTTATTAAAAGTTGTTCACATCTGCCAAAGTTCTATAAAATTACAAATGTTTTTTGCAAAAATAACAATGAATTTAAATCCTTTCAGTCTAAATACTCTGCTTTTTAAATGTTTGGTAATTGCTGTTCAGAGGTCTGGAATCAGCGGTCAGTAATATAAACCAAGTATATAAAGTGATTCCAGTATGCAAGTTCTGAGCAAATAGCCCATAATTAGTAGGACGCTAAGAAGCTGTAAATAAAAAATTAAGATATTTTAGGTGTGTCTGCGGTGATAAACAGAGCTGTAGAGTATTCTAAACTGACAGAGAAACCAAATAAGGTTGAGAATGAAGTTATAATGAAAGTTACCCAGATAGTATATTTTAGAAGTCAAAACTGTAAGGCACATAATAATAAAAACTATGTAAATAGGTCATTACCGTGCATTATTGATACTTTTATTCAGTTTTTGTTCTTGAAATGTTAAGTAATACATTTAAAATTGCCATCTGGCAAACAGTTTGTAATATTTTAAATGACGATATTATGTCATTAAAATTTTTTAATTAATTTATTTTTTTGGATTGTGTTTCTCATCGGTTATTTATTCGCAGCTCTGCTCTTTTTTTACAGTACAGTCAGTCTTTGTAGCAGTCCGTTTGAATAATCTTGAACTTCACCAAACCAAACTCAGGACAAGATCTCCAACAGAAGAATGAAGCATCAACAAACAGAGAATAGTTTGTTATAAGGATCTACAGTCCTCTCTCAGCTAAATTCCAGACTTAAAACTGTTCTGTGTGGAGCAGTGGACCAAAATCCTCCACAGTTGAGAAAACTAATTAATGAACTAAGATTAAATGTTTGGTTTGCACAGAGAATCGCATTACTATACTGAAAAAATAAAAGGAACAGTTAGAAAACTGCAGTGCAAAACTGTTTTCTGATAATTGAGGCTAAGCATCACAACAGTGCGACATTTTGTATGTTATGCTTCTGTAGGGGTATTTACATTACTGGCTCCAGCATCATTGGAGGTGGTGTCAAGGCCCCAAGAATTAAGACGAAGAACCTCGTCAGGTATGTGCTCTGTGCCTCCTTTAATTCAAATGCTATTTTAGGTACACATTTCTCTAGTGTGGTCCAGGCTTAGTTAATTTTGCGTTCTTATTGCTGACACTGCTGTGTTGTTTTCATTCTCCAGCATTATCTTTTGTGAAGCTGTTGCCATCTATGGGATCATCATGGCTATTGTCATAAGTAATATGGCGGAGGTAAGCATCTAGTAAAATTCTACTAGAAAACTATTACTTTCTCTTTCAGCCCAAGTAGATAATTGGATTTTGAACAAAACTTGATACATCGTTTCAGTGAGGTTTGTTTATTCATGAAAGTATTATTGCCCTGTTATTTTACATGAATTTTCTTCTGTGTTGTAGAACTTCAGTGGCACAACACCAGACACAATTGGGGCAAGGAACTACCAAGCAGGTGTGTTCCACAGATTAGTTTTAGCAATTGCAGTTAAGAGTGTTGTTTTCAGTTAAATTCATTTTTTTTTCTTAGTGAATTTGATGTGTTAATGATGCATCTGCATTTTTGTGTTGTCTTTCCAGGCTATTCCATGTTCGGTGCTGGGCTTACTGTTGGCTTCTCAAATCTCTTCTGTGGCATCTGTGTTGGCATTGTTGGCAGTGGGGCTGCCTTGGCCGATGCTCAAAATGCCAGCCTCTTCGTGAAGATTCTCATTGTCGAAATCTTCGGCAGTGCCATTGGACTGTTTGGAGTCATCGTAGCCATCTTGCAGGTGGGTAATTCTGCAGAAGTATATGTTGTCAGGAGTAGTGAGGTTTTCTTGTGAGTGGAAACTTTTTGTTCCTCCTTTTAGGTTGTAACACATGATTCATTTTCTTAGTGATGTTCATAAGTACAGGATGGGACACTATCAATCACGTTTGCACTCCCCATTTATGTTACATATGTGTGTGTGTGTGTGTGTGTGTGTGTGTGTGTGTGGTGGTGTGTGTGTGGTATATGTATGTGTTTTTTTTTTTAATTAAAAGGTCTGATGTGCACTGGGAGTAGTTTGGTATTCCTTATTATGAGACTCTACCAAACACGGGGGATGAGCCAGTCTAACTGATCCCAAGACTTGCCTCATTTTATAAGCCCTTCAATCGCTTAGTAATCTTTGCAAGATGCTTTTAACATTGCATTATAGGATGCAGTATATCACAGAGATAGCTCTGGCTCCATACTGGAGTATTTGGCCAGAGTAGTACATCAATCAGGTGTCTTTTGTATACTGGTAAGAAGTCATGTTGGTCGCATACTGCATACTACTTATATTAAAAAATATTTTTGAGCATAATTAAAACACGAGCAGTGTATAGTTGACTATTTTAAACAGGACCAGTGTTACAGGATTGTAAGTTCGTGCATTTCAAATATATGTTGAGGTGTATATGGCACTCACAATATTTTATTCATATCTTGCAACCCTAATGTGCGCTGCCTTGTCTAGTAATCAGTTTTTATTTCTGCCAAGGCATCTGACTGTTTGCCAGACTTCCAAAGGCAGTGTTATATGTAAAGATACCATAAAAGCAGCCAAAAACCGGGGACAGGGTTGAGATGTAACAGAATACAAGCATTTGGCATACATATTCAGAATACAGAATTATGTGTGTTCAGTCCAAGTTGCATTTTGTACAGCAGTATTCAAATAGGTACCTTACTTACCAATACTTTTAGAATACTTCCCCTTTAAATTTAAACATAGATATAAAAAAATATTATACATAGATATAAAAAAATTAAAAGAAATACAGTCATTGCTTATTTATTAGCAATTTTAAAATTAGGCATGTAAAAACAAACTAAAAAAGTAGTCAGTTAACGGTTTCTTTACAAACACTGAAGTTCCTGCTAAAGTCTGAGTAGACTGACGCACTGTGATGAGCCAGTTATTCATCTCAGTGTTACTCTTTTGGGAGATGATGGAACTGAGCAGTCTCTTCAGTAGTGGACATATTCAAGTGATAAGCTTAGCATCGGTGTTGTCCTGGACTTGTGCAAGTGTTTCATGATGTTACATACATATCATTAGCTGAAAATCACTAATAGTGTGATTTGCACGATTTTGTTATTGGTATATTGCTTGTTTGTTTTGTGAGATGGCAGTATGATTATAGGAGCAAAAATCGTGTTGAGAATTCGCTTCATTTAAATAAGTAAACTTGAATTATATTTACAGAAGAATCACATGAAGACAACTGCCAGCCAGTAACAGCAAGGAACAATATGAATTAAATAAAAATTACAGCAGCAGAACTTTCCGCCGGTGCCTTATCAATATGTATTCTAAATATATTCTGAATGTTAATTTTACTTTATATGTATTGTAATGGAATACATTACTGAATACATTTAGGACAGGGTATTCAGTATTCAGACATCAAAGTATTCTGCCCAACTCTTGACAGGAACCTAAAGCATTTCCTGTGCTTCTAAGTTTTTCCATGCTGAGTTTTCTCTTCCCCTCATTCTCATTTAACACCAGCCGTCTCCATTTGGCCACACTCTGGAAAATTAACATTATGTGATCATAATTTCTCAGTCACAGTCTGCAGATGGATCTGATGTGCGTAGTTAGATTCCAATTATCCAGCCATCCTGTCAAGGTTATTGCAAATTAAACTAATGTAATTAGAACGTGCCCCTGCATGGAAAACATGCAGCCTAAACTCAGCCCATCACAAATGCCATTTCCCCTAGCCCCCAGGTACAATTAACTGGGGGGTTAAATTAAAATCTCCTGCATGTTATCGGCAGGACTGTTCTGTTCATTTGAATATTAGTATTGCAAAGATTTTATGTGTGTTTTAATACATCCTTTTGTTTATTTTTTTTCCCCAGACATCGAAAGTAAAAATGGGAGATTAGAGAATGTGGCACCTGTGAAATGAATAAATGACAGAAGGAAGACGCTGTGGTGCAGACACAGCCCGACTGTGTAAATACATAGTAAATTATTTAAATGTATTTTTTCTTTGTGTCTGTTTTTAACCATCGTTTCCTGAAGAGTGAAATATGTGTACCACTTTGTCTTAAAAAGATTTCATGTTTAAATCAAATTCAGATCCTTAAGACAAAAGCCTCCCCGTTTCACTGTACATCAGAATAAAATCGCAAAATAAGTCAGAGGAGGAAGAATCACTAATGGCAAAGTTGTTGTCTGTATACTTCTCATTCATTATCAGATCAGTGAGTCATATTCGAGTGTGATTGTGTTTTTTTTTGTTTTTGTTTTTTTTTGTTTTGTTTTTTTTTTTAAATAAAGATATTTTATTGGTAATAGGCAAATAAATATAAGAAACAGCCTACAAAAATGTAGCCTATAAATGCAAAGAATGGACTTTGGAGCCCCTTGAAATATTAAATGGTACTATTGTGAAAGGTTTGAAGTTCTGTAGGCCTGTATAGTTTGCTGTGATCGCTGTTCTGTACAATACAAAAGTGAAACTTGCAACCAGTGTGGTTCTTTGGCTGTATGCAATAGTATGGCTGTAAATTCTGTCTGAAGTATTTTTACTCCACTGTATGCGAATGTGTTTAAGAACTCGGCCTCCATTATAATGGTAAGGAAGCCTCTGAACATTTAAACGTTGTTCATTTTCGTGTGACGTATTCATCCACGAAGCAGTCAGTGGGCAAGGATGTGCCGTCTCTACGTAAATGTTCATTACCCTAGATTGGTTCATCTCTATTGGTCTAACACAGTTATTTATACCTGACTCATAGGATTATCTGGTTTACATTTATCGGGGCACTCTTCAGTTCTGATTGGTTAAAAATGAGAGGATATAATAATCCGATGTGTGTGTGTGTGTGTGTGTGTGTATGTGTGCGTGTAAATATTGGAGCACGTAAAAGTTTATCTGTGAGGCATGAGGGTGTTTACCATTCTGTATTTCCCTAGCTTTATGTGGTCTTAATTTTATTTCCTTATTTTTGTTTATTTAAGCAAGTGGTCTTGAATCCACAGGTACCTGTGGTTGTATCTCTTGACTGTATTTGAACTTCTCTGTACAAATCACTTGTCACGTTATCTCTGTTGCTCAGGTCACTGAAAGGAATACTCCAGCGTTTATCCATCTGATGTTTGTCCACTTGTAGCATACAGTCACAGACAATTTTGAGGCATTTCTTTCTATTAAAAGAATAGAAGTCTATTGTATGTGAGTTTCTGTAAACTGGCTTTCTGTACACGAAAGCCTAGAAAGCTTTAAAATTGGTAATCGACCAGGCTGAAAACCCTGGAGTATTCCTTTAACTCTGTAGGGTGGAAGACCATTTTCTGGCGATTGGCTGAGTTTAGAGTTTCTGATAAGTTTAATGGCTGTTTAGACAATTTGTACTATGAGTTGCTGAAATGGTTCCATGTTCTCTCTTGATAGCCGTTCTAATTCAAAAAGGTCTCAGCCTGAAAACAACAGTTGGCCTTCACTTGGCTGTGTCTTTGTTTTTGTTTTGTTTTTTCCTTTACCTGTTAAAGGAATTCTCCAGCATATTTTTATGTAATCTCAATCTGCAGGACGTGTATCATATGATCAGTTACCACAATTCAACTCAAGTTTCCTCTACTTCAAAAAGAACTGAAAACAGAAAAAATGCGAACAATAGAAGCTGTGGGCAGATGCTTCAGTTAGATGCTGGAGTATTTCGGTAATGATGTTTCAGACACCTGTCCTTCGCTAAACTGCAAAATATACATTCCCCCTTAGTTTTTTTTCTAGTTTGTGGTTTCTGTTTAGATTATAGCAAATGAATGGTTTGTTTTAAAAAGTTTTTCACTCCGGAAGTCAAAATTTGTCATTCACAACAAAATAGCAATCTTGTGTCAGATGCTAGGTGTTTCACTTTCTTTCACGCTCTTGTTTTGCTGTATTCACGTTTCTTTCAAAGCATTCCAATAATTAAAATCAACACTGATGTAAAGATGCCATTGGCTCAGGTCGTCAGGAGGTTAAAGAAGGACCTTTTAGAGACCCTCATTTCTAGGAGATGTCCAGGCCCTGGGTGTCTGCTCATAGTTTTAGAGGTTCAGGGTTCTCATGGCCTCTTGATCTTATTACCATGCCTCCAGTGATTGTGTTTGATATGTTGATGTGGTGATTCCATTGTTTTGACATGTGCAAAAGTGGAACCTCTTGACTTCATAATTGTCCTTGAACAAATAAAACTGTCAAAAGAAATCTGCTGAAGTCTTATCTAAATTCTTTCTTATCACATGATAGTGTGACAGCAATATAAACAGCAATATAAACCAGTGGTAACCAATCCTATGCACCGTGGGCCAGTGTAGCTACACGTTTTATTCCAATCAAGCAGGCTCCCCACATGGGATTATACTCAATAAGATGAAAATGAAAATGACTAGAATTAAATGAAATAGGTATAAGCCAGTGGTCATCAACCCTATCTACCTTCTTGCATAGGCAACCACTGGTATAAGCTTTCTTTGATTGACAGTAATTTTATTAATTTTTAAGCAAACTGGAACCGGGCCTTTTACATTCTTGGGCTTATTAGTGGTTTGCATCTGGGTAGTTCTACAGAAACATCCACTTTTCTATCGATCCATAGGTGTCACTGATGTCAACACCAGTGACATTTTTAATGAAAAATCCATTTTACAAAATGGCTGCTACAGAGCATCAAACCACATGTTGTCAATCATGGAATATCCACTAAAATATGTAATTTAATCCATTTCTATTCTATTTTTTCACAGTTACCTAAGAATAAAGTAGATCATACCAGTGACTTCAACTGAAAGCTTCATATGAAATCATGAGCTAAATGAGAAAATTTCTGATAACTGAAAGACACAGTGGACTTACCATGTGCTTTTCTTCATAAATCCTCAGAAAATACGTAAAAGGAAGTCAAGTGACTTACTTAGTGTGATTTTGACACAACTCCTGGGGACAACAACTTTCATTATATATTTTATAATATTTATTTGGCATTTGTTTTGTTTATGTCTTTTTAATCATATATTTCATAGTCATGTATAGATTATTGCAGTTGGAAAAATGGAAAAAAAACATGTTTTTTACTTCAAAATATGGCACTCACCCCTTTACACATGACTGTGAGGGCAAGCACTTCTGTGGTGCTTGGAATTCTACATAATTGATTTTAAAACCAATATTGCTACATTGATGGCTCAAGAAGGTGTAATTGTTAAAATAACATTGTTTTATTTTTAAATATAAATAAATTGTAACCCTAACGTTTTCAAATGTTATATATCTGTAAATGTGAGGGACACAAAAATGGAACCTAGTTTGACATTCCTGGTCATCAGTATAACATCACCCATTACCATAACAAAATTAGATTTGAATGACAGAGGTGTAAGGAGTTTTTCTCTTTGTTCTCTTTCAAGGATGTGTACTTATTACCACTTAGAAAATAAATAAATTTTGTCCAAGAGTATTCAAAAAGGGGACACTGATGTTGGAAGTATTAGTAGATATAAGAATGTTAGAATTTGACATTTGTAAAAAGCCATCGAACTTGGTTGCTAGAAACAACCTTTGAAACAGATCACCAGGTTACATGACAAGTGTAATTTCTAGGTCATTACATTGCAGTGATTTTATGTTGTATTTCTTAGAAGTGTTTGGCACTAGTACTCTCTCTAAACCGCTCTTACAAACAAGCATCCACTAGATGGAGGCAGACGGCATGAACTAAATCCAGTCATGCTTTGAGCGCAGCTTGGAAGAAATCTGTTTCTAAATTGATCCAGGTTTCGGCATTGATTTAATAATGTTCAGTTCAGTGTAAGAGAATGTACATATTTATCAATAATTATTTTATTTGCATATGCAATTTCTAAGCTATTGGTTGTTACTGTCCACAAGGTTACAGCTGGTAAGGACCAAAATCATTAGAGCACAAACAAATACAATTTCTGATCGCAGAGGGTAAGCAAGGTAGGTCTCACATGTGCCACACTCCCATGACAAAGGACATTTTCTGGTGGGTTTTGTTGTTGTTATATAGTTATAGTATGTGTTACAACTTGGCTCTGTTTTATCATGTTCTATTCAGCTTTACCAGTGTGATTTACGTGTTCTCCCTTACTGTGTTGAGTTTCTCTTTTGGTGACCTTCCACCTGTTTCCCCCAAGCGTGAATCCCCTTGTCTGTTTCAATAAAAAGCAGTTTCCTTGAACCGGAAATGGCAGACTCTGGATCTTGTTCTGTGTGGAAGTGGGATTCTGCCGCCAAGTTTGAAGAAATTGTGCAGCGCATCAACAAACTCAAAGACAGGCGGCAAAGAGACACAGGCCGGAAGAAGGAGGTACCGCTTGCCCCCTCCTGGACAGGTCCAGCCAGCTGAGAGTGATGCGACTGGCTGGGAAAGATAGCAAAGGAAACAGTCTGGTGAGGCTCGACAGTGGAGCCTGGCTGGTGCTCAATGGCGAGGGTGTCTGCAAGCCATACTCCACTCAACAACAATAGGTTTTTACCCAGCATTATGGCTAGACAGGGACCATCACTGCGATACAGCTGTGTTTGGCACTGAATGAGAAAGCACTGTTTGTCAATCTGCCACCAGAACAACATGATGACCTTGTGGTGCTGACCATGGCCCTCTAGCAACTATACGGGTATGTGCTGTCGACGTTGTAGGTCAGGCGGCTGCTCTCAGTGAGCAGAGGCTAAAGGGAGAGTGGATAAGTATGTTGGCGGAGGAGCTGAGCACAGTGGTCCAACAGATATACCCAGCGTTTAAACAGGCTGTGCAGAAAGAGTTGGTGCTGGAACACTTCCTAAACGCATTGCTCCTGGAGAAGCTGAGACAGCATGCACAGCTTGCTACACTGACCTTCAAGTGGAGGCAGAGAGGGCAGAACTCATCCTTGTCATAGAGACTTCATGGTGAACAACACAGTGCTACCCTGTAGGGGAGCTTGAGGAGGAGACAACCTGCCTAGTCCATGAGTGAGTGGTGGCAGAGCAACTGTTGTACTGGTGGTGCACGAAGAGGGGACACTGCGCAAATGCCGTAAACCTGAGCTGGTGGGGAAAAGGAAGATTGGCTGCTGCCACAGACTTTTAGGTCTATTGCAGCATAGAAAAGGAAACAGCTCACTGACCTCACTGACACCGGCTCGTCAGTGTTGCTGCTATGACCAGGCACGCTCCACCAAGAGAAGCACACCTGCCAACTGAAAAGTGACAACCATCCAACTTAAGTCCCTTACTGGCAGCTGGGTTGACACAAGAGGGTGGAAGTGGCTCCTGGTCATGGTGGAGGGCCTGACCTGATTACATAAGCTGTGGCTTGCACCTTTACCGGATGCGTACTCAGTTTGGATTTCCTCAAGGCGGCTGGGGCCGTGCTTGACCTCAAGAAGGAAACACTGGGCTTGGAAACGAGACAAATGAAGCTGTTTGTGGCAGCCAGTGGCAGAGCCAAGGCAGATGGTCGGGGCTCTGTGGCAGCATGGCCTTCATTTCCTGAAGGGGAGGCCGCTGGCTCTGAAGGACCTGAGCATGTAGCTTCAGAGCCAGTTGGTGGATCACTGGGGGCGTGATGCGCTGGTAGGCTGAGGGCACAGAGGCTTTTTGTGGGTGAAGCTGCCAGTGCTGGAGGAGCTGAACAGTGGATGATGGACAAAACCGACACAGTGAGCTGTGAGGAGTTCCACCATGCCCAGGAGGAAAACAGAGCTCTCTTGGGCACATGGATGGCTCTAGGGGGGACGGAGACCTGGTTGGGCAGACAAGTCACAACTAAGGCACTTTCTGCCAGCTGGGACAGCCTACAGCTGCACGACAAGACGCTCTGCATGTTGGAGGAACCAGTGCCTGGTAAGCATGTGTGGCCACTGTGCACTTTGAGGTTCTACTGGCCGGGCTGACTCATGGACTGTCTTACAAATGTGGATCTGTATGTGCACTGCTGTGACCAGTGCACAGCAAAAAAAGGACCACTGCAGCTGTCGCAACCCCCTCTTCAGTCTCTCTGTTTTGGCGCACCAATGGAGAAGACGCCCGTGGAGTTGGTGCTCAGCTACCACTGTGTCAATGTCATGCGTGGGCCAGAATGCACTGCTACACCAAGGACACAGCCCTGAGAGAGGACTGGGGGCATCTGCTGCCTATGAGTGGGCACCCCGCAGCACTTGTGCTGGCCAGGCTGGTGGACAGGCCAGCAATTCAGCCGCAGACAGGCCGCAGCACAGGTGACACACGTCTGCTTGCCTCAGAGACTTTGTTCGGGCTGTGTGTGTTGTTGGGATGGCTGATCCTTGGGGGTTTTGTGGCGTCCGTTACAGGCGCTGCATTGCCATGTGAAGCTTGGGAAAGTATCTCTTTTGTGGCAATGCAAAGTATCTTTTACATGCGCCACACTACCAAGTTAAAAAGACATTTTGTGGTGGGTTTTGTTGTTGTTTAGTTGTAATATGTGCTACAAATTGGCTCTGTTTTATCCTGTTATTTTCAGCCTTTCTAACTTGTTTTAGGTGTTCACACTTGCTGTGTTGAGTTTCTCTTTTGGTGACCTTCCCCCTGTTTCCCCCATGAATGAGTCCCCATGTCTGTCTGTTTCAATAAAGAGCAGTTTCCTTCAGCCACAAATGGCAGACTCCAGCTCTTCTTCTCCACTAATGCTACAAGATGATGAAATAAGGTGAAATAAGGAAGATTATAAGATGATCTATATAGCTACATTGAATTACATTTTACTTATAACTTTAGGATTTTCAGTACAATTAAATGTAATACCACTACATCTTTTAACATTTTTCTGCCTATTACATGCTTTCTGCAATGTACTACTAAATTAAAGCCATCAATCAAAGAAAAGGACATCAATAAAAAAGGACATCAATCAGACAGAGGACATCAATGAAAAAGGACAATGAAGGGACAAAAGGGAACAGGTGTAAAAGACAAAAGACACAGAAAACATAGGAGATGAGGGTGGTATAGTCATAAGGGACAAGCAAGTCGTGGATAGGGTAGGTGAAAGACCTGAGCAAACAGATAAGTCTTGAGATGAGTTTTAAAGTTGGAAAATGTGATGGATTAAAGGTGCTGCTCTAGAAATGTTGGATCCTTGACTCAACAGATGTTATAGGGAGGACAGTAAGCAGACAAGAAAAGAAGATCTAAGAGTGTGTGAGGGTTAATTGACCAGAAGATCAGAAAATTTGGATAAAGAGAGATTTTTGCGGGTTTGAAATGTGAGAAGAAAGATTTTGAATTTAATATGTTCTTTCATGAGGAGCCAGTGAAGATTATACAGTACAGGTGTGATGTGCTGCCAGTACTGAGTGTTAGCAAGAGGTTGAGCAGCTTAGTTTTGCACAATCTGGAGCCTAGGGAGGGATCTGCAGAAAACTGCAATAATCCTGATGACTAGAAATTAAAGCATGGCACTATTCTTAAAGTAAAAGTAGAAAGTTTTGATGAAACAGCTAACCTGAGTATCAAATGAAAGAGTACTAAGACAATGGAAGAATAGGAATGTGAATAATAATAGGGACAGTTTTGGTGAGGCCAAATAAAATTCTTATCATATTCATTTTTTCAGTAAAAAGGCTTAGATGTGGGCCAGAAATAGAATTTAAACAGAATTTGTCTTAAAATAGATATGAGTGTCGCAGTGAAACAGTAAAAATTAAGATTGAGAGGTATAATGTGAGAGGTAGAATATTGATAATAAAGATCAAAGTACCGAGGACAGAACCTTGTGGGACACCCTGCGTTACAGAGTAATAAAATACTAATACAACAGAATGGCTCCAGCAATACCTAGATCAGGGGAAGGATAGACTGACACACTGTGTCAAAATATGATAATAAGAATATTAGTAGTAGTGGCAGTACTACTTATTTGGATTTATTCATATAGCACATTTCTTTCATAGAAATGCAGCTCAAGGCAAAATACACTTGAATGCTAAAGTGAATCAATAAGCTTTCTGTTATTTTACTTAACAGAATGTGCTTAATAGTTCTGAGAGCACAAAGAATTTCAAAGGTTTAAAGCATGTGACAACATAATATTAATAATAGAATAGAAGATTTTTTTATATGCCATCCAGCATATTGTGGCATTGCCGCAGAAGAAGATGCAGTCAATATTGCGCGTTCAGGCAAATGCTTTTTTATTTTAAGCAGACACTTCAACTGGCAATGACATACCCGGGCCAGCAACAACGTCAAAAACAACAGCAACAATGAGTGTCCTTTTTATAGGCCACACATGTGGGCCACTTCATCATAAAATGTCTTTAGTTAGGGGCTTTTGAAAAATGCACACTTCACTCTGTCAGAATTTGACTAGTTTTACCACAGAGCTAGAGAGTTCAAAGGATTAATGAATTAATTCAAAGTAAATGTATTAAACACTGTCATAGTCACTCTTTGTTGGTCCTTTTTACAGGTTATGAGTGCTGTAATCTTTTCATCCACGTTTCTTTAGTCTTTTTTATTTAACCTCCAATTTATGCCTCTGTATACCTCAAAGTTCAACCTCTTGCAGTGACATCATCAACCAAGACGAGAGCCACTGGCAGCCATACATCTGATTGTTTAACAGATGAGGTGTGATTTGGATTGTGAGCAGTTCTCTTTCCCTCTCTCTGATGCAGAAAGTTGTCAAAACAACAATCTGTGTCTTCTGCTATGTGAACTGTCTTGAACTTATGGGCATAACCGTCTAAGCATTTGCCCCATTGTCAGGAAATTGTGGGTTTTGTTGGCTCTTTTGTGTGTGAACAAATGTTGCACTGACACACAGCGGTCCAGGAGACATCTGAGCATCCAGTCCTCCAGTGACTTCTAGTCCACTAAAACAAAATGACTGTGTAAAAAGGACCGTATGTCCTACACATTTCATACGATTTAGAAAGATCTTAAAATTAAAGCTGACAGTATGCACTTTGCTAATCTAATAGAACACAAACCCAGGGTCACTTCAGAGAGCATCATCAAGAGACAATCAATAAAGCACAATAACAAATGGAACAATTGACAAAATCTCAGACAAACTACAATATATGAGGCAGAAGCTGGAAAATAATACTGACATAAGAGAAAAGTTTTCAGTTTAGTTGTCAAAGAAGAGATAGATGGAGAGCCTTGGCCAGAGTTTGAGGGCCACGCCACTATATGACCGGCCACCCAAGGACGAGAGTATGAGTGCGGTAAGCAGAAGTTTGTATTGGACACGATCAGAAACTAGTAGCCAGTGTTTCTGATAGAGAATGGAAGTGTACTGAATTTGACTAAAGCTTGCAGGAGTTAATGAAGGCATGAACCAGTGTTTTAGCATCTTTCATATTAAGTGGAGAGCAAGAGTAGGCAAAAATTATTAAGCACAGTGAACTGGGTGAGTGAACTTGTGGGGCTTGAATGTAAGTCAGGGATCAAATGTTACACCAAGATTGTGGCTTGCCAATCACACCAGCAATACTGATGCAAAATATTCTGGCATTTAGAGATTTAGAGGCAATTACCAAGGCTTTCTTCTGTCGTTCTGTTGGTCAGCATTCTTTCAGTCCTTTAATTGAGAAATGCTGTCAGGGTGTGGGGGTGGCAAATCAGTGGTAGAATTGCTACTAACATAAATCTAGGTGTTATCAGCAGAACAATGAAAACAGAGGCCATGGTAGCATAGGTGGCCAAGGCCAAGTCGCACTATTATAAAAAGGGACCAAGAACCGATCCCTTGAGTAAATGAGGCACAGGTGGATTTGTGTTTTCTAATCATAACTACACGCTGTGTAACAGTGAGCTGTGATATGAACCAAGCAAAAGCTGTGCCTTAAGTATCAATTGAGGAGAGACAGAAGTGTTACTATTCACAGTGTCAACAGCAGCACTAAGGTCAAGAAGAAGAATAATGTTAAGAGCATCAGCAGAAAGGAGGCCATTAACACCTGTGATGTAGACTATGACACCATTCTCCTACATAATACGCAACTGCTTCCTCTCTTACACACACGCACGTATTTGTTTAAAATGTTTAAACAAATTGTTTTTCTTGTTTATTTATGCTTTAAATTTAAAGTAAATAAGTAGTAAGTAATTGGTAGATTGCCACATTACTGTCATTACTGGCCAAAGCCATTGTATTCCATTTGTAGCAGACAGATATGAGTAATTTATATAAAAGATTGAAAAGTCTTTCACAAACAAAAAAAAGAAGCTGAGACAAGAAGTCTTACAACCCTCCCCAGGCTCCCCTATAAACAGCAGCGTAACACTGCACTCTACAAAGATGATACCAATTCCTTAAAACACAGTGAGGAACTGGTATGACATCTAGAGAATCCCAACATTTGGGCTAATTGAAACAGTTGTTGTACTGTATACATACTAAAAGCTCAATACCTTCATCTACAGTTTCACTGTTTGAAAAGGTGATAAAATGACAAAATATTATCTGCAGCACCTTGAACAAACCCCAAAAATCAATCTCTAGAAATTTCCCAATTAAATATGTAACAATGGAGTCTACAACATAAAAATTAATCAATAAGCTGTCCAGCCCTTACAACGAATAGTCTGAAGCTTTATGTCCAATATTATTTAGGAGGTGGAGCAGTTTGAAATAGGGAATATGGGGCTGAGGAATAAAGGATTATGGACATCAATAGGTGTAGCAGTTAAAGTCAGCCTGTACTGAATAGCTACTGAATCCATAATAAAATATAACAACACTGACAGTTTCTCCAGCCAAGAAAGTCAGATTCAGACACAGAGCACACTGTTTACATCACTCTGAAGAACTTTCCTGGTGCGACATACATGTGTTCCAAAAAAGTGAATAGTTGTGCATGAACTCACCTACATGCATTTGTGACAAGCACAGTTGATGACTGTAATGCTCTTTTTATTAGGCTTCCTAAACAAAAACAATACATACAACTTGTACAAAATATAGTAACACAGGCACAAATACATCTAAAATGTATCGCCCGTTTTGAAAAATAACAGCACTGGATATCTGGATACCTGGATATCTTTTCAGATGTTGGTTTTAAAGTTCTAAATAGTCTATTAAATACTGGACTTCTAAAAAAATACCCTCTATACATTACGGAGAAAGTGGAGATGACTTTTTCTTTTATTATGCTTCTAAACTGGAATTTAATTCCACCTTTTATTTATTTATTTATTTATTATTTATTTATTGTTTTAAACAACATTTTCAAAACATATCTCTTTAATGTAGCTTTTAATTAAAGTACCTTATTTGTGTTTATTTTTCATATATTATGTATATGATCTTATTTGACTCTTAATTTTCATTTATTCAGCTTTATTTTCTTTTTATTATTCTTATTAGTCAAATGCAGCTGAAATCAGTCCCAGGACACCTGTTAAACCATTAAAGTCCTTTACATTGTGATATCAACCCATCAGGAAAACGCTAAATACCGTTAGGGATTACAGGACACCACCAGGAACCTTTATTGGTTTCTATGTGTTTTTTTTTTTTTTTTGCAAGGATGGCATTTTGCTGCTGAGAATTTTGAAACATGACCTTACAATTTTAAACAAAATAGTCATTTCCATAGTTTGGTTACCCATAGACATTTTTATTCAGAATGGACCAAAGCACTGGCCTTCCAGTCAAAAGGTGAGCAGGTCAGCTGAGTGACCACAGCAGCCCGACGCTCCCTCTAGTGGTGGGCTAGTGAAGTGACGTTTGAGCCCTCCGACTCTCCGTACTAGATGCTGAGGAAAAAACCTGCTCCAGTGCTTTTTCATTCGCGCCTCCATCCTCCAGGCAAAAAGAAAGGAGGTCGATTACGGGCAGACGGAGATGTACGGCAGAGATCCTGACTCATTCTCGGAATATGGACCACGCTGAAGTGCTCTGAGCAACATGGAGGAATCCACATCTTCTGTCATTCGGCGAAACCGTTCCACGCCTGCGTATCTTGCGTATTGCTTCACGAAAGATGAAGTAACAGCCGTTGAAATGAGAAGGAAATAAAGGTGGCTGCCTGGCAACGATAACGTTTTCTTAACCTGCATATAATGTGCAGTTATTCCCTAAGTAATTGCTTCTATCTGCTCTCTGAAGCCCTTATTGTTGAAGTGACACTTCCCAAATAACAGGCAGCTCTACTAGTCGGCAGCTGAAGTGCATAAACAAAGAAATGCATCCTTAGAAGAAGATGATCCCTGGCTTGCTTTGCCATTAAGGTAAGACATTAACGTTGCAGTTTTCGGCGGTTGAATGCAAGCCTGATGTTTTTCCGAACAGACCACTTCACTTGCTCTTTGTTTTCTTTGTATTTAAAGCTATCTTTACAGCCTGCCATCTTGATTTAGGCGTAGAGAGATATAACCTAGCTGTTCCATATCATAACAGAGGCGATGGAAATTATCACAAAGCTAGCTTTAACTATTGATGTGACCAAAAAAGACACCGGGCGTAAAAATTGACATCAAGGAAACTGTTCTCCATTTGTTCATGCACACATTTCTGCTTGTGGACATTAAAAATCAAACAGCACCACACAATACATCTTCGGGCTGCTATTCTTTGTCACAGTTGCAGCGCCATGCGTGGCTTTGTGCTCTGTAGCTTTGGGTTAGTTTCCTCACCTCTGGCCTTTTGGGTTGTGTTCATTTAACCAGCGAGACTTTCTTCACTCTTCTTCACATTCTGTGTTACTGTAGCCTAGTCTGTGCTCTCTGCAGGACCTGTGTATTCACTGATGGCAGAATGAATTATTTAAATCTAGAACTCCATACTTATACACTAAATTAGTACCCTAGAAAGATTAGTGTTGGAACCAATATTCACGTAAAGTAGACATACGCCAAACTACACCCACTCAAAATCTGAAGTGTGTCCTGTTCAATCCCACGATTCCAACCGTGTGGAGGAATGTGGCTTCGGAGATGGTTGGTCAACTTTGGGAAGATGGCGGACATTCTTAATAACGAAACATATGAAATTAGTATAGTTTGTTAAAGTGGGCGGTTAAATGTGGTGTTGTGGTCTGTTTGAAAAGTTTTACACTCACTTAAATGCCGTACTGATACGTTTTAATTCTGTGTGTAATGTGTAACAGTACTCAGTTTCAGACCCAACCACAGTATTTGTCAAATAGTAAACAAACAGTACCAAGTTGCCATAATACATCAAAATCTAAAGTGTACAAACACCAGAAACTGTTCAGGCCTAGCTACAATTCGAGGGATGTGGCCTCTGGTCGGTGTCTCGAGAATCTGGTGTATATTCTCAATAAGAGAATGCGATTATTATGCCTTATTTATGTTGTAAACTTGTTAGGGCATATAACAATATGTATGTTTTTACACATTGTTCAATAAATGTTCAGTTTGAGCGTCATACATACATAATCGCTTTAAAGCAATTGTTTTTTTTCCACAGCTGTTAGTTTCACTGCGTATCGAAAGATAGGAACCAGGAAAACTAATCAGACAATTTGGCCACTTTAAGCTTTAAGACAATGAAGTTGACAATAAATCCAACAGCTAAAACCTCATGATCGTGACCGGCCTGTGGGATTTCATCTTCATGTGAATGCCAAAAGATAGCCTGTAGAATAGTAGGCCTTACGTTGCTTTTGCAGGCATGTATGATTTATGTGTTACACAGTCATGGTATTCATGATATAGCAGAGAAGTACCTGAGTGTGCAACACTACTACAGTCAAAACCCGAAGTGCATGAAACCTGGACACTGTTTAGTCCTTTTAGTCCAGATATACAAATGGGATACAGTTAATCAAGACCATCAGTAGCATCAGAATATGTTGGAACTAAACTTTGCAGGGGTCTTTGAATTTGCAGAGATTGACGTACCTTTGTCATTAGTAAACAGTATAACACTCTCGTCAGCCAATAGTCATCACTGAATTGCACATAGCATTTCCATCTTTAAATGGCAGTGTAGTATGAAAGTTCTGAAAGGTTTTATTCTCCTCAGGTTTCGTTTAAATATTTTATGTACCAATTTTGCCAGAACTCGCACTATTTCAGCCTTCTCCGTTATTAACAATACAGAATGTTTAAAATTTTTATTTTAGGATAAAATTCACTAATACCAAAATAAACTGACCACTTCATTGACTTCTTGTCTTTAAAACAGGTCACAGAAGAACACAAGTGACATTGATTTACATTATTTCACTGATTGATGAATAGTCTAAACAGTGTAAGTCTTGCACTGGTTCAATGTTAGTCAAATTATTTGAGGCAAATAACATTTTAGCACTAAGCTCATTTATTATGTTTGTTCCGCTGTTCTTTTGTCCGTGTGGTTCACCCAAGTAAGATGGGCAACAACATGGATACAGTTTACATGGTTACAGCTACTTTATATCTTACCCTCAGCCATAATTCTCCTTCATCCTTCTTAGCGTTTGGCTTCTTCTTAAGCTGTTAGTTGGAAGAAAATACTATATGGGAAGTAACGGTGTGTCTGTTGTTGTTTTCTGCACTGAATGCATTGTCCAACTTATGTAACATCCCTGTGGACACTGATTTGCTCTGTTTTCCCAACAGTGTTTATGTTGTTGTGGTATTGGCTCTGCTGCATAGCAACGATGAGGGAGCCAAACTCGAAGAAGGTGAAGGAGCTGAAAGTTGAAACGGAACTCTGTTGCTTTTCAGCATGTCTCATGCTCTTTTGGTGTAGTTGTTTTTGTTTGTTGTTGTCGTCGTCATCATCATCATCTTGTTTCACTCATTCGTTCACTCAAACATTCATCCGTCTTAAATGAATATCAGTGGACACCCGAGAGGCTCTCAAGTAGCTTGTCTAGTACTGAATATTGTGGTACATTGAAATAACAGTAGGGGCTCTGTCCACCACAGTTCTCTTAGGCTGAATGATTCTTCAGGCCTGCTAAAGCTTCTATGTCCCTTTCCTATTAAAAAGGCAGTGTTTTTGGTGGGACATGGCTCATGGTTACTGGGAAGTGAATGTAAGTAATTTCATTATGCAGTTCACTTTGGTTCATTTTTTTAAATTGTCATAATAAATATATACCTGCGCAAGCATAGTGTCTGTAACACTTATTACTACCGCATGGTGTAAGAGATGCAGAACATCTGTTTTTTTATTATGCCACCAATGTCAACAGGTTACAGGGTTCACACGGCCAGCTTGGAAGTGCTTTCAAGAAGCATCCCAGAAGCGGCACAGAATCTAGAGAATAGGCATTGAGCTTGTTTTCTCCACCTGCCGCCCATGGCATGGTACGATATTTTGAGCAACATTTGAATGAAGCAAAATGAAAACTGTATCCATGTTGTTGCACACCTTACTAATGAGATTAGAGCAGTGACGCTAGAGGAGTGTTGTGCATGTGAACTGTGCATGTTCTAGTGAGTTGTTTATTGTTGATGGTGGGTTGGTGTTACATTAGATGGCATAATAAAGAGAATGCCCATTCTGCCTATAATGCAATGCATTGTCATATCCCCACAATGCACATTATTGTATTTTTTGCATTGCTGTATCACAGTGTGACGATGAATTGTTGCATGAAGTGAAACAAAAAAAGAAAACCAAAGATGCAACATGCTTTTTTTAAAAAAAAATGCTCTTTTTATCGAACAACATGAAGTATCTGATTTGACTATCTATTTAGAAAAGGGATGTCTGTAGACCTTGTTTGCAAGGGGTGAGAATTTCCAGTATAAACTCGATGTACTGTTCCGCTGGGCAAACACTGCATGTGTGAATAGCAAATGTGTACAGGCTGTCTGTAGCAGCCACCCAGCCACATGTCACACTGCACTCATATCTTTCTGAGGTAGTATAGGTAAAAACAGGCCCAGGGTATAAAGAAAAGCTTTTCTTCTTTTCTTGTAGCTCTGGATTTGTGGTCATACAGCTGTGGAATATAAGGACGGGCACATTCATGGCTAGGACTTGTTGTCATGGGAACAGTGAGACCCTGAAACACAAAGGTGGACAGCTTTGTTTGGTGAAGTAGCTTTGTCCGAATATCTTTTTGCTTTGTTTAGGAGTCAGATTCAGGTTCAGGCGTCACCACCACTGTTTATGATATGAGCCTAAGCTATGTTCCGCCCATTCATGCAAGGCAGGATGTTCTGGGTTATAACCTAATTTTCAAGTTGTGTGGCTGTTTAAAGCGTGGCAGAGGGGATAATCGTGTTTAAGTGTACCCAGAAGCCTGGGCCTGTGGTAGTTCTGAAGGCTTCAGCTACAGCAGGATTGTGGCTATTGGCTCTGGACCCTCAGAGCAGCTGGAAATGAGGCAGGCTGTGGCTCTGTCTGAGCAGGGCTCTTTCAGGCTCTTTCAGGCCGGGAGGCCAGCCACAGAGCTCCTCTCTCCAAGTCTTCAAGATAATAAGGGCTGAGCGTTTAGAAGTAGGTTATGCTGTTTGAGCAATTTGCCTGGCTGACTAAAATCATTTTGATTAAACACTGCCTGGCAGGGGGATGGACATAGTCTGAAGCATAGTTTACGTTTTAATATTCTTAGAAACTTTGAAAAGGTTGCTGCCTGTATCTTGAACTTGTAACATTTGTCAGACAGCTCATGCTTGAGGGAGATTGGGTGTAAACTCTTGTGAAGATTAGCCTAAACTTTTGACATAAGAGATTATAATTTAAATTTAAAATACCACCTGTGAGCCTTGGCATTCATGTCTAGCAACTGAAAGCAAACCATTTGGGCATATCTCTGTTCCATGCCTGTCCCTCATAGCTGAATATCCCTGTTTGCACCAAACAGAAACCCTGCTGTGTCTCTGCAGATAGCCTAATCTCAAAATGATGACAAGATAGAGGTCAGACTCATGAGAGATTTGCACTACACTGCAAGTCACACGCTTAGCTGCAAAGACTGTATGTTAACAGTTGAAATCTCACTATTACTCTGCAGAGTAGACCTATGCATGCCTAAACTTCTTAAATGTGGCCAAATTATAAGACATGCATGTGTGTATGAATCTCTTTAGTAAACCACTGTTTTTATTAGTGTAACTACAATGCGGTGTAGCACAATATGCTGATATATGCTTTAAAGATTACCACAAGTAGTAACTTCACAGTGGCCTAGTGTCAGTTCAGCAAAAAATAAAATGTGCAGTTTTCATTTGATCCCAATTGTGGTCAGTCTGCACATTTTGTTAGTTGCAAAGCTAAAGAAGCAAATGTCAGACACCAAAAAAGTTTTGGCTGAATGACTACA